TTATCCTGGCTTTTTGCCTCTCTTTCAATATAATTGATGGCTGAAATGTTGAACTTGATTATATTTCTGATGATGGGATTGAGCCATGAAATAAAAGTAGGAGTTGCTGTATCCCAGCTGATCCATTCTGGAAGAAAAGCATAATTACATTTATGCACTGTGGCACACATAAAGTTGGTTAATCTTACCGTGAGAAGTAAAAGCTGAAAAGGGGTTCAGAAATCTGATTTTGGTGCATCATCTGGTACAAGAGTGTGTATGTCCCCATAGCATTTGGAGTAGGATTGGTCATGCCCAAAATCCCATCATAGCCAAGATAGTACCAGGGATGGGTGGGTTCGTCCACACTCAAGCCAAACTCCTGGTTTTGAACGACAATATTCTGGACCTGAGAGAGAAGATTGAAAAATGAAACTGCATTTGATTTGCAGTTCATAGCATTGCAACCATTCTGCACTTTCGCTTGAAATTATCATGTCTTTATCATAAACATAAAGATACATGGTGAGCATAAACTCTTGTTCAAGTCAAGCTTGATTCCTGGTGACTTCCATATCATTTTCTTGGAAACAGTATGGAAATGGCTTGCCCCTGCCTTTCAGGATATATATTTTTTCATCTTCACAGTCTAGCCTATACTCCTGTGGTTTGCTGGGAGTCTCTCATCCATGTCCTATCCAAGCCCAAGCTTGCTTAGCTTTCAGACCCAAGCCACACAACTAGAATCCAACCATAAACAGTTCATGATACTCCTAAGCTGATACATTTCAAACTTCACACTTAAATGTAAGGGATAAATGGTTAGCTAAATAAATGTCTTTTATGGGCCACATTCTTCTGATGGGAATAGTTCCTTCCCAGAGGACAGCGGGTAAGGATTTGAGATCCTCTAGAATTTGCTGAATTATTATTCCCAGCACACTAATCCAGCAAGGGAAGTGGTGATTCGCTGAACATTGTAGTTATCCATTTGTGGAGACACCATTGTCTTTGGCAAAAGACAAGATAGCAGTTGCATGTCACAAATACAAATGGGGCGGGGCTTGATCATACTAGTGCAGCTGTGTTATATTGC